TGTGTCCCTTTGAAACCCATTATTCAGCTCCAACCTGCCAAAAGCATTTAATGTAAGCCTCAAAAACCGACCCAACCGACCCCCACCATGTGTGCTTATACCATCGTGCTGTCCACAATTTCAACACCAATGCCACTGTGTCGGTTGAGGTCTCCAAAGTTTTGAGGGTGCTCCAAAGGATTCAAACATACTCGCAAGGCCCATTCTTGAAACCGTTCTTGCTTTGGAATATCTCGACCCTAAATCCCTAGAACAGCCACAGGTCTTTCATTGTTGGGGAACGTTGAAGGTACCAAAGTACCCAAAGTATCCGAATGAACACCTCCAGTACCCCGCTTTCACCCGCTTTCAATCTTCCAACGTCGACCAGTTGAGGTCACTGCAAATACTCACGGAGGCTATTGAGATGGTTGCTTCGGGGCAAAATACCACCGCGAAAGAGGGCGAGTGGGATACCTGGCGGATTTGCTTACAGGATTGTGTACTTTTACTCTTTCCCCTGGGTGATGCCCCTTCTCCGGGAGTAGGAGAAACAGATATGTGTGAACACATTTCTTGGCAAACAGTTCGTCGTTGGCACTTGCTCAATGAAGCGGTTTTGCGGCTTTCCCGGCTTCCTGGACAGCCAATCCAAGGAACGGATGCAGTGCGCTTGGACCGCTGAACTGGAATGCGCCGCACGGACATCGAAAATTGATGCCAGCATAGCCCACCACACAACCCATGGGACTGGAATCAAAAGCGAAAAGTTGACCCAATGGATCCCAATACATCCCTGAAATCAACCACTTCGATGTTCAGAACATTTCAGAAGCATCCCACGGCGGCGGCATCTTGTTCGTCGCCGCGACGACGCGCGACGGCTCTTCAGGTCGTTCGCACCTCTGCCTGTGAGCCCATCATGGCCGACGCAGCAGACGGACTGCCCGCGAACCGAAGACGACACCCGACCCGTGTCGCGCAACGGAGAGACCAAGACGCCCGTGTTTTTTCGGAGAAGACCGCCGTTGGATTTGGCAAATGAAGACCGGATGCATGGAAGTGAGAAGTACCCGGAAGACAGATGTACTGGTCAATGTCTGGAGAACCTTGAGTCTCAGTTGCTTGGACCTCTGCTCCGGAGTCACTCAAAACCGCGCCGGCGGGCGCGTGTTTTTCTTTCGCAAGAGGGCTGTTGGGTTTTGAAGAGCACGGCAAAAGGTGCAGGGGCGGAGGGCTCAAGTTCAAAAAGCCTTGAACGGCATTAAAAGACAGTGTTTTGGACATAGTTCATTCTTCAAAAGAGGGGATACTCCCGCTTTAGGTCAACAACACGAGCTGATGCAGGAGGAATGAACTTCGGACAGGTTACAGCTAACCTGACCTCCATGAAAGCGACCTGCGACGCTTGGCGTGCACAAAGGAGGGTTGTAAGTGTCCCATTCCCATCACATCACATTCCGTCATATCATATCACATCCCATCACTGTTTCGGCCATGGTGCATTGACTTCCTGAGAAGGTTTCTGGGGTTTGGGAGGGCAATCCACGCTTGGCTGATCTTTTGCCTACCTGGAGGAAGGGGTTGGAGTTGGAGCTGTTAGGAGGAGACACTTCTCTCAGAGTTGACTGCTCTCATTTGCGTCCAAAATTCACCTCCTCAGCTCTTGGTATACCTCCATCTCTCGGGTCGAAGGCACGACTGGCAATTGACTAGAAACAACCACCGCACATCACACACCGTCACTCCAAAGTTTGTTGGTTCAGGCATGGAAATCCATGAGCCGGATCGTTGGAAGGTGTTGTTGGAAGGGTCGCGTGGCTTCCAGGTAATTATGTATGAAGATGTATGAAGCAACCCAGAACTGAGGCTAGATTGAAAAGCAGAACAACATGGTGTTGTTCGGCCTTTTGTTCCATAGAAATCCTGGGTACTTTCGATTAGGATTAGGGGAGGGGTGTGTTTTTTTGTATTTAATCCCTTCAGCTTTGGACTATGGATGTTTCAGGTTGAACAAGGACATCCGACAGATTTCTCATCATTGGCCTATGCCACCAACATTGGATGCAGCTTGCTGATGGGACTTGCGGTGTTGTACAGCTGAACAACAAAGAACGCAAATTAAAGTACTGTAAATTAAATGATACCTCAAAGAAGGATTGAAAAGAATATAGAATAATTAAGAATCCTATATATATTGATATATTGGATATATTTATATATATACAATTTTTGAACATATCATAGTAAACATAAATGAAACCATATATATATAGTATAATTCATGTTGATTGAATTAATTATGATTTTTCTATTTTAGATATTGAAATTAAATCTATAACTTATAGTTTATATTTTATAAATTGTTTGTTTATTA